CGAATGCCTTCAGGGCAGGTTTGGCTGGCTTGAGTTGTGGGGATCAAACCCCAGCAACCTGAGCCTGACTGCTTTGTTGAAGCAGCCACTTAAAGAGCTGAGCTAAGGGGCAGGCCCCCAGCCGCAGAGTCTGATGTTTATTTTCTCTTCATCTTTGTCATCATGCTCACTTCTTTCTTCCTGTGCTCTGAATTTTTCTCATTTTACTCAAATAGGGTAATAATTGAATTCTGATTCAGTTAATTTTATTCTTATTAGAAGCTGGCTTAGTATAATGGCAAGTACCCCAAAGTGTGCTGGAAGACTAGGTTTAGTATATGTGCTGCTGAAGGGAGCATGAGGACCAGGTTTAGAATCAGGCTATATATGTACTGCGTAACTGAGAAAGACATCTCACATCCCTTAATTTTACTTTTCTTAATTATAAAAGAGGGAAAATATATTTTTGTAAACAGAATGCGATATAAAGGAGGAGTGCCAAGTGGTGCTGGCTGTGGAGATACATTAGAATTTCCATGTTCTTATTGTATGTAGACTGTGTCTTCTATAAAAGTTCTTAGTGACTGACGTTTCCCTGACGACTTTGGGATTTGTTCTCCTATTTATTCAGGTATTACTGATTGTTCTACAGGGCCACTCTCTAGCCAGCCTGTGTTCTCCTTTCTGATCAGATGTTTAGAGGGTTAAGTAAGGTTGTTACAGTCCCCTTAAGACCTCTGTCTCAGTTACTCTTCTCATTGCTGTGGCAAATACCTGACACTCAAGATGAGGAAGGAAAGGTTTTATTTAGCTCAAGTCAGTGGAGGTTTCAGTCCATACTCAGCTGGCTCCAAGGCAGAGTGGCACAGGGCAGAGAGCAGCTGTTCATGGTGGTGGCAAAGAGCATGAGCAAAATGGAAAAGTAGCAGCAACATGGCTGCAGAGAGCAAGTCTGTCTCCCTTAAATTACATTCAAGCTATCTGCCCTGGGCTGGGAGTAGTATTCACACCCATAATCCCACTGGATCATGAATCAATCACAAATTCTAGAAATCCACCCTATGACTGCATGAAGCTTTCAGGGGACTAGACACAAACCATAACGTTGTCCCCGTAGACCCCCAAAGACTCATGTATGTTCTTTTGTACAACAGGCATTTTAGTCCATCTGTAAGAGTTGCCAAAATCCTAACATTTTCAGCATTGCTGAAGAGTCCAAGTCTCCTCCAAGATCCAAGGCAAACTCTTAGCTGTGAGCTCCTGTGCAAAAGAAAAGTTAAACACTTCCAACATTCAAAGGCACAAGATAAACATTACCATTCCAAAAGTTGCAAATAATAGGGGAATACAAAGCATTGAGGCCAACACAAGTCCATAATCCAGCAGGGCAAACATTAAATCCTGTAATTACATATGGAACATCCAAAGCAATCTGTGGCAAATTGTGAACTCCATGTTGCTCTGCCCCTGTGGCATTCTTGGTGGTAGCTCCCATGGCGTCTCTCTTAGGCTGGCTTAGCTCCCTCTTTGTAGTTTCCCTTAGATGATCCACATTCCTGGCTTTTCTAGATTTCTGGAATTTCCACTGAATAGGCTTCTCACTCACAGCTTTACACACTGCCCTCTCCAGGGCATCTGCAATCTAGATGGAAGCATTCTTAATCTCAGAGCTCCTGCATTCTGCATGCGCCTAAAACCAATGCCATGTGGATGATGCCAAGGTCTGCTGGCAACTGGAGCAGTAGCCCAGCTTCCTTTGCTCTTGGCTGCAGGGATTGAGTGTCTGGATCGCTGAGCACTCTGACCCTGATTCCGAGGAATAAATTCTCCATGCTGGCAGCATTTTGGATCCTGGTTTGGCCACTGACACCATTCTGGAACATGGGGCACAGCTGCTTTTTCCCCAAGGCAAAGTCCCTGACCTTTGAAATTCTGAGGCTGCAAAGGGTGGCTACCTGCTGCCTCCTGTGATGCCCTCAGGCCATCCTTTCCTTTCTCTTGTTCCTTCCCCGCAATGGAGGAGATCCTCTCGGCCCTTATCTTTACAGCCCCCAGCTTTATTGACACTTCCTTTCTGGCCAAACTCACATTTTAAATCATCCTGCTGGGCTCTTTGCTCTTGATTCTCAACATAAACCTGACTAAAAGGCTTGGGGAGATAGCTCAGAGGCATAAGCACCTGCCTGACAAGTGCAAGGTCTTAAGTTCGAGCTCCAGTCCAAAAAAAAAAAAATCTGACTAAAAGCCTCCAACAATATCCATGCCACTCGCATAATATTTGGCTGCTTTTAGATTTCTTTTAAAAGATTAGTCAGTCTGCCATGCTTAATCTCAATCTCAGGCAAAGTCTCTGGAAATGAGTAAAATGTAGACAAATTTTCTGCCAAGCCAAAACACAAATGATCCGGAGCCCAACAACCAATGCAGTCCTTTTTCACAGCAGAAAGCTTCCCAGCCTGGTCTTTACAGGCAGGCTTTCTATCAGCCTTCTTGTCTGAGCGCTGACCAGAATCTCCCATATAGCACAGCTGAAGCTGTTCCAGTGCTTCTCTTGTAGGAGACATCTCCAAACCTTTCTTATCTCTTCCCATAAACCATTCCCCAAAATTCTTAATCCACATGCTCAGGTTTAGCCACAGCAACGACCCCACTTCTCTAGTACCAAATTCTGTTACTTCTTTTCATTGCTGGGACAAATACCAAACACTCAAGATGAAGAGAGGAAAGGTTTATTTAGCTCACAGTCAGTGGAAGTTTCAGTCCAGCCTTAGCTGGCTCCAGTGCAGAGGGGGACATGGCACAGGGCAGCAGTTCATGGCGGCAGCAAGGAGCAAGAGCAAAATAACAGCAACAATGGCAACAGAGAGGAAGTCTGTCTCCCTTACATTGCATTCAGGCTATCCACCCAAAGCTGGGAGTAATGTTCACACCCATAATCCCAGCAGCACTCACACCCATAATCCCAGTGGATCATGAGTCAATCACAAACTAGAAATCTACCCCATGGCTGCATGAGGGCTTGGGGGGACAACTAGACATAAACCATACAACATCTTTTGTGACACACCAGAATTTTTTGACAGAAAGGTATTGAATAATGGGAGTTTTTCTCTGCTGAATGCCCAGCCTGGTGGAAATTCTTTCCTATCTCTCATTGAGAATATTGATTTATCTTTAGATGGAATGTAAGCTGTGTATCCATTCTGTAAAGCATTTAAGTGTCTGTCTGGCCATATTACTGAAGAAATAGTAGCAAGATGACTGAACTTGGGGTTCCTGGTTACATTTTAATTTTGTTAAGTGCTGCTACTCACTGTGACTCCGTGTGTTGTGTGGGGTGTGCGTGCATGTGTACATGGGCCAGCTTGCATTTTTTGTGGTTCTAGGGATTGAACCCATGAACTCCTGCATGTGAGGCAGGGACTGTACCACTGAGTACAGTCCCAGCCCATTTTATTGTTTATTTTGATGCAGAGTGTTACTAAGGTAGACTCCAAGTTACAGTTTGCCTTAGAAGGTGCGATTCTGGGCATGTGCCATGATGCCTGTGTGCGTGTTTTTAAGTCAGGAACAAAGAATAAGAAATCAAGGAGAACAGAAGGAATTAAACATTTAAAATTAATTAAAATCTGTTTAAAGAGACATTTGTCAATAATTTGATGAGTTACAACTCTTTTAGAAATCTGTAAATTCATCTTTCTGCTCTACTACACACAGATCTCAGGAAACATCTAGCAGCAGGTGTCCCCTGAGGTGGTTTTGCTTCTTGGCTTCTGTTGTCTATCCGCAGTGGTTCTGGATGCCTTTGAGGAACTGATAAAGAAGAAATGATAGAGGGAGAGGGGATATATATATATATATATATATATATATATATATATTGTTTACATATGTGTGTATATGTATCCAGGCATTTCCAAAGCCTTCCAAATATTTCTGTGATGTGATTGTAGTTTCCATGGAGGTGGACTCACCATCTTCAGCAGAAGTCCATTTCTACTGCTGGCTTCCGGTTCTTGTTTGTTTGTTTGTTACTATGGAGATGGCCTAGAAAGTGGCTGGAAAGCCAAAAGTTTAAAAACCAGTAATTTGATTACAAAATACGGATGCAACCATGTTTAACCATAGCTAGGTGTTTCATAATTCTGCATTTTTGAACCTGAAATTGTTTTGTGAGGCAAGTTTATTTTTCTTTTTGAATAGAGCAGATTTTAAAGCTTGAGCTTAAACACTGAGTTGAAAAAAAGGAAATGAAAACAAAGTGACATAGTTTCTAAACCAAAAATTTTAAATGGGAGTTTAGATTTAGAGTTGAAAGGTGTCACCTGAACTGGGAGAAGCTAATGTCAGGAAGTAACAGTTCCCAGAGGAGGACACAGAAGGGAAGGACAGGTCATGTGTAGGAGTAGTGAATGGCTGTTACCAGTGTGGCACATTTTGTCTTCAGAGTGTAGCTTAGTTAGGTGATTTTCACAGGTTGCTTGTATCTGTTTTCCAACTGGATAGAAAATCCAGAGTAGATCTGGCCTTTTGTATTTAGAGCTTCTTACTATACTTTGACTCCTTCTATAATACATCAAGTTCTCAATACATATTTAAGAGAGAGGGTCAGAATTTGGATAAATGAGGGCCGGGGAGATGGCTCAGTAGAATAAGCGCTTGCCTGGCAAATGCAAGGGACTGAGTTCAATCCCCAGTTCTGCCCTCCCCCCGCCAAAAAAAAGCCCAAAAGAATTTGGATAAATGAGACCCTTATGGGGTAGTATTGAGATCTCATTGAAATGAATAGTTTTCATGCCTTCTCCAATTGTAAGTATGTCTTTACAGTTAGAAGTGTAAACAAGCAGTGCATTGGGTGAATGGAAGTTACTTTTCAGATAGGTTTTAGAAGATGTGTGCATTTGTCACCAGGCCAGCCTCTCTGTCTCTTAGGAGAGTCCAGCCCCACGCGCCGCGAAGCTGTGAAGAGGAGGACGGCAGAGTACCTGTTGCGGGTGGAGAGCATCTCCGGGCTCTACCGGAGCCCGCGGCTGGACAGTGGATCTCAGGTGTGTCCTGTGCTGTGTTTTGCATTTCCTTTAGTGAGTTTTTGTAACCTTGTCTCTTGGGCTTTATTTCAAATTAAAATATTTAAGAATTTTGGTTTCTGGAATTTTATCAGTAATTTTCTGAAGTTATTGGTGGAAAGAAGAGCAATCTTAGCTGTCTGGCCTATGTGGAGTAGCATGGGGTTTGTTTTCTCCTTTTCTTGGCCCTTTCTTAGTCTCTTTCTGTACCTTTAATTTTCCTCATCTCCGGAATGGCACTAATTTATATCCTTAAATCAGTCTGTAGTTGGAGCCTGGGTATTGGGACTGTAGGTACAAAGTGAAAAAAATCTATGGAAGAAGCCAAGTTCAGCAACTGTGGCATATTGTGATATCAGGTTCGAAGTTTGATTTTCTGATACTTTTCTTTATTATTGTGTTTTCTTTTTTGGCTTCATTATTCCATACTTACTTTTCCCTGGTAATGATTATCTCGTGTGCTGAGAAGGAGGCGTTAGTTTTGTCCAGATGGGGCTGTGAACCAGAAATAGCGCAACAGGGGTGTCTTTGGAGATGCCGCCTCCCAGCAGCAGGCCCAGCACCCGAAGCTCCACCTTCCCAACGCCCGCAAGTGGCGTGCTTATCTGGGCCAGTTTGAGAAGCACCACACCAGCAGGTAGCATAAAATGGTGCTCAGAGAAAATAGGGCACAGTGAGTGAAAGAGGGCAAGGACAGGCTGGCTATAGAGCAACTCCCAGAGCAAAACCCAAACCCAACAAAACAGTCAAAGAAAGCTCAAAACAGAAACACAGGAAAGCTTCATTGAGCCTAGTAAATAAAAAGTTTTAAATGGGAAGTAGGTATGTTGGAGGCATTTGGCCACTATTCAAAAATAGTTGAACACACTGATTATAGACAGAGGCTGTTAAAGCACTGTGGGGTGACAGAATGCCTGCTACCAGAAGAGTGCTGTGGACTGCCACCACCCCTACCGCTACCACTGCTGTTGTTGCTGCCACCTCAGGCTTTGAAGATGGTTGGGTTGTCAGACTTTGTGTCCTCTGTTTACTGCTGTCTTTAGTCTGGCTGAATGCAACCACTCTTCCTTTTCTCAATATTATCTGGTACAGAGGCTAATAAATATAAATGAAAAATCTTACTTTTTTCATAAGGAAATCAAGCCTATTGACCTCTCCTCTTGTGAAACAGTGGGCTTGAGTTACCCCTAAGGATGATATTTTATGAGTAAGAATTAATCTCATCTTTTTTCTTACTTTGTCATCCTAGATTGCTTAATTTGCTGCTTCTCAGTTTTCTCATCTAGGAGAAAAACAACAAAACCAAACCAAAAAAGGCCCCCCCTCCCATTGTTGGTCTTGGTCTCTAAATTCTAATTTTGTTCTTAAAATTCTGTGAATTTCACAATCCAAGGAAAAAAATATTTAGGATTCCCCCCAATTTAAATGTTATACATAAGAAATACAAGATTTTTTTTGTTGATGACTTTATTTCATGATCTTTCTTTGTTCGTTTCTCTGATCTTAAACTTACAGACATTTGAAGTAGCAAGAGGAGCTGTGCTCTTTCCCTCACGATGCTTTCACCATTCCTGTCTTTGCCAGAGGAGTCTCCTGAGTCACTGTTTTCATTGGCTTCTTTCCCATACTACATGGCTTTTCTTCTTGGTATTCAAGGCTTTTAACTTATAGGCTTCTTAGCATTCAAGGCCTATAATGGTGGACCCTGAGTTGTAATCTTATGTTTTGCAGTTCTACAATTTGAATATTTTTTCCCCCACAAGACCAGTACCTTTTCAGTCTTTTTTTTTGAGATAGGATTTCACCCTGCAGTTCAGGCTGGCCTTGAACTCACTTTTTAGCACAGGCTGCTCTCCAACACAGTACTCCTCCTGCGTCAGCCTTCCAGTGCTGGGATTACAGGCGTGCACTGCCATTCCACTGCTCCTTTTCAATCGTACCTGTACTGTCCTTTTCTTTTTTTAATTTTCACATATTTTATTTTACTGGAGATAGGGTCTCACTATGTAGTTCAGGTTGGCCTTGAACTCACTATATAGCCCAACATAGTCTCAAATTCACGTTGATCGATCTGCATCACCCTCCAGAACGCTGGGATTACAGATACGTGCTGCCACACCTAGCTCCACATAGCATTTAAAGTCATGTTTGGTACCACTTAATTCTGAGACCTGTGTCTTACATCTTGTGTCCTATCCTCATGCAGGGGCCATGCTAATCTTTCTGTATTGTTCCAATTTTAGTATATAAGCTGCTGAAGCAAGCACATATGTCTTATATCTCAAATAATAATTTATCTCTATAGTCCTGTATTTTAGGAGGATGTTTTATTATTTATTTATTTACTTTCTTTTTTTTTTTTTGTGGAACCGGGGATTGAACTCAGACCCTTGCGCTTGCCAGGGAAGCACTTATTCCACTGAGCCATCTCCCTGGCCCCCAGGATGTTTTATTTTTGTTTAACCTTTCACGTATCTGGCTTGTCTCTCCAAATAAATATGTACTTCTGGAAGTTTGGGATTACTTCTACTGTTTAATGATTTATGTCCTTTTCAGGTACTGTGCAGGTAGGAGGTATGGAGTAATTATTTAAGGGAATGGTAGAGGTTTTTGTAGTTGGCTTTCATTCATTACTGCTGAAGTTGCTGAAGACTGTACATTTTTTTGGAAATTGAAAGATTGATGGTCTCAGGGAATAAAAAGTTTTAAATGGGAAGTAGGTATGTTGGAGGCATTTGGCCACTATTCAAAAATAAGCCTCAAGGGTGAACTATGAAGTGTTCTTTGTGCTCTAGAACTTCCCCAGACATTGCTTTTGCCCAAATCCCAAGCTCTTCTCACTCTGTTTTAGTAAGGTGTGGCAGCGGCAACAGCGGCATCTTTGCCCAAGTTGTGACAGGAAGACTGTGTATACTAGAGAGAGGAGCTGGGATTCTGCCCGCCCTGTTCTGCACTTCTTAGTTCATCGGTTGGATGGGTACTGTCTTAGTTACTTTTCTCTTGTTGCTGAGACAAAATACCCAGCACCCAAAGCTAAGAAAGGAAAGGTTTATTTAGCTCACCATTTGTGGAGGGTTCAGTCCATAATCAGCTGGCTCCAAGGAAAGTGGCACATGGCAGAGAGCAGCAGTTTGTGGTGCTTGAAGACAGAAAAAAGCAACAAGAGAGAGGGTGAGACAAGCCTCTTTCTGTCCCTTCCATTGTACCCAGACTGCTGCGATTAGGGTGTTACCACTCCGATCAGAGGCCTGATCTAGCTAGCCATCACCCCGCCTTAATCCAGGCGTTGCACTAGGGATCAGTTAGCCACTTCTGTGACGGAGTGAAGGTTGGCAGGGGGATGTGGACACAAACTAATGGGGACCATAACAGGAACTTCCTGTATGCATGGCAGTCAGGGTGGGGCAAAGGGTAAGGATACTTTGTAAATTAAGATGGAGAGAGGGCCGGGGAGATGGCTCAGTAGAATAAGCACTTCCCTGGCAAGTGCAAAGGCCTGAGTTCAATCCCAGGTTCCGTCAAAGAAAAATAAAAAAAAAAATTGAGATAGAGAAATTAGTTCTGCTCTGTGTCTATTTACATATGTAGTGTATTGAAATACCTTGATAAATGCTTTTAAATCTTTCAGATATTCACCTTAGATTTTAAGCTTTTTAGTACCTCATGAAAGAAGACATTAAATAACTATGTTTTTAGACATATCCAAATAGTCTCTAGTTTCAGAGATTATTAGCATATGATCGAGTTGCCATTACTACCAACTTTCTCATCTTTAAAAATATGAGGAATTTCTTTTGAGTATTATTATCTTATGTATACTGTAAATAGAATTTGCTATGTCTACAAACAAACAACAAATAAAAAATGGAGAGCAGTTAGTATTGCCACTTGTAGTACATTTTACAGGTGGTAAGTTTTCCCAGTTGTAAACACTAATTTACATGGGCAGCCTTCCTCCCTTGCTCCCTTCCTCTTCTTCCTGCTCATCTTTGTCCTCCCTCCTCACAGCAGACCAGACCCTAGCAGCATGCCAGGCACTAGCCTGCGTCTTCACTGTGGAGAGGGAGAGTATGCTTCCTGCCACCAATAGTCCCTCTTTGGCCACGCCAGTCTGTACAGGGACCTGAAGTGTATCTGAAATGATGCCTTAGGAATTCTGTCTTCATGGACATGGCGAATGAAGATATTTTGTTTTCTGTTCATGGGGTCAAAATATTTCCTCTGTATCCTAATAGAGTTTTGGCAATAAGATCTGTTCTGAGTATCCGATGAAGTTTTATGTCTCTTCATCCTTTGCAGCCTTGTTATTTTAATGTAAGAGTGAATAGACAGCAGTACTTTCTAGCTATAAATACCAAATGGAGGTGTCCTCAGAGAAAGTGTTTATTGTTTGTTTGGTTATTTTTAGGTCTCTTATAGTTAATAGACTTTTCTACATCATGGATATTCAAAGAAAAATTTCTTTCTCTTATGAAGTATCTATAACACAGCCTCAGTTCTAGTACATTGTAGGTAGCATAGTGGAGTTTCTTAATGTTCCACCACTGGTAGTTTTTATGGTTGAACTTGAATTTGTTAATTCATCTGCAAACATATTGTATGAATTTGTATAGTAGCCTTAAGCACTACAGTTTCACGAAGAGAGAGGATGGCTCCTGTCCCTTGTCTACCCAGTAATTCTTTGTTAGTTTCCCCCTGCTAAAGTATTGCTGAGCCATCTGAGGTTAATAGTAGTTTGTAACTGACTGTTGGCCCAGTTTCCAATTATTTACAAAGTTTCTTGATAGCTGTGTACCCTTAAATTGAATCTTGCTGTAGAAGCTGTATCAGCTCATTAATGTTTCTTTAAAAATTTATGATTTATTTACTTGCAACTTTTTTCTTGCTTTTTCTTTTTGATTTTCTTTATTTTTGATTTTTTAAATTTTATTTTGCATTACAGACAAACAGAAACTTCCTCCTTTTATCTTTCCATTCTCTGATTTATGATAAATTGAGTTTCCTTTGGCCTGGCATTTGCTTCAGCAGGCATTCTTCCTTCAAGTACCTCCCTGATTGATGTGTCATCTTTGATATCTTCCATTAGCCTCCAGGATCACTAAGTTCAAGGCCCCCTTGGAACCTAAGGAGCCCTGCCGAGGAGCTGAAGGCCTTCAGAGTCCTTGGGGTGATTGACAAGGTAATTCTTCAGTGTCTCTTCAAGAGTTCAGTCATAAATCCGACTGCATGCTGACATTCTGTCTTTGAAGCTTTGGATCTTAAGGATATGAAACAAAAGGAGAAAATGACTCAAATGCATCTGCACTTTAAAATAACAAAAGCAGAAGAGAAAAAGCTTTTATCTAAGCAATTCATGTAAGGTCATGCAAAATATATTTGAGCAGAAGGAAAAGGTGCGTATTTGTTGGCATTCAGTTGAGTAAGGGGTTTTATTTTATAAAAGTGGTATAGCAGGAAGACATTTTGTGATAGCTAAACTTGTGAGTCAGTGTTGTTCAACACTCATTGGTATAGTCATTCTAATGATCAGAAAAGTAGCACCGAATACCACTCACTGAGTGTCTGTTGTGTATCAGATTAGACATTGCATATAAGACAGTTTACTTTATTCTTTCCAAAATCCAATTATAGTGTTTGTATCTTTGTGGGAAAGTATTAAGCATTCGAAGTCACTTGTCCCAAAGTCAAATAGCTCAATTAGGAGAATTCTGGGATTTAAACTGTGATCTTTGTTAAACCCTAAACTCTGCTTTTTTCTCATATACTAACACCCACACACACCACTGCACATGCACATACTCTTTTATACTTGGAATACACAGTATTGTCCTAACAGATGTCTGCCATACATGCAATTTTGGGGACATCTCACATATGCCCAATAGTAACAATACTATACCTGGTGATAGTTTATGATTATAACTTAAAAACTATAGACAGTAAGCCATGTTTTAAATGTACTTGATTTACCACTTTATCATCACAGTAAAAGATAATGCCTTATTTAATATTAAGCTTTAAATTGATCTCAATCTTTTTTATCATTGAGTGTCTTTTCTGAAGCACCTTGATGCATTTGTAACACTTCTTGTGTTCTTAAACATACGTGTGATTCCTTGTTAGAATAAAAAATAAGCAATACATTTTGGGGAATTTGGGCAATGATTAATGGTTTGAGGTATTCTCAAGGGAAAGTTGTGTGGCATATTTCATGAAGCTGTTTTATTCTCATAGGCATCACTTTTCTCTATGTGGTGAAAGTTTGAATTTAAGAATTCTAACATGTGTCATTGGACTTTTGTTGCTAAAGAGTCTAAAATGTTCCCTTAACCATTTTTTCTACAGCCTTTTTGTTCTGAAAATGTGCGCGAGAGGGGAGAAAAACAAAATAGTAATGGAGTCATTTCTAGTACTCGGGTTTCTGAGCAGATAACTCTCCTTTCTTGCCACACAGCTTCCACCTTCTCTCTGAGGTTTTTCTTTAACACTATGTGACCTTTCATTGTTGTGCCCTAAGCTTCAAATCACCTACGAGGCTTGCTAATGAGCGTGCAGGTTTGTCTAAAGGACCTCTGGCCATGGAGGCATCCTGGATTCTGTACGGCTGCTCATCTCCTTATTCTCTGTTCTCTTAACCTGGGAAGTGTGGTTGGTGTTTAGCAGGTGACATTTTTTTAAGTAGAAGAACTAAGGATATGTGTGTCTTGGGAATTAATAAGCTTTGCATATAATGTTTTAGAATTTATAATACAATGTCTACAGAACACACATAGGTAGATTTTTAAAAATTGGAATTGTTGTTCAAGGTGAATTCCTTTCTGTTAAACTGAGGAATGTCTAACACATAATATGTACCAAGGAGTATTTGTTGAATGAATTGAAATATTTAAAATCTATCATATATAGAGTGACACCTACTGGTATAATTGTGAAACTGTTACTTGGTATCATACAAGGTGACTGACTTCTCAGTAGGTCCCTTTACCCAGAGAGGCGTAATTCTATAGCTGTGTGTTGGTGTAGTATTCAAGGAGAAATAAATGACTTTTTGTTCTTTAATTGGGATTATAGAATCATTCCTTAATGTAGTTATGCCACAAGGGATTTAAGCATTACGGCTCTTGGAAAATAAGTAAGCTTGTGTGCATTTAGTTGTAAAAATGCTCAGGTGGGCAGAGGCCCTCAGAATCATAGGAGGAGCGGAAAAAAGCAAGGAGATGTTCAGCCTGACAATGCCGTGTGGGGCTCCAAATACTTGGCTGTCTTGGATAGAGGGACTGTGTCATATTTTTAAACCTGCAAGGTGAAAGGATTTATAAACTATCCTGGAGTAGTAGGTACAAACTAGGATTATCTCAGACAGATCAGAGTGCCAGGTTTTATTGGGAGGAAGGCAGTAAGTGGTGAAAGGTGATTGTTAAAATCATCAACAGGTGCAGCTAGAACTAAGGAATATAAGCTCAAGAACAGTGAAGTCTGCTTATGGTTAGAAATACTTTTCAGGTCGGGCGGAGTGACACATGTCTATAATGCCATCACTAGGGAGGCTGAGGCAAGAGGATCACTTGGAGTTTGAAATCAGCCTGGGATACGTAAATGAGCTCAAGGCCAGCCTGCATTACATAGGAAGACCCTGTATTGTAAGAAAGAAAGAAAGAAAGAAAGAAAGAAAGAAAGAAAGAAAGAAAGAAAGAAAGAAAAAACAAAAGAAAGAAATACTTCTCAAGAATTACGATGTTGAGTCTGGGAGTGTAACACAGTAGTATGGTGCATGCCTGGCGTATGTGAGGCCCTGTGTTCTATCCCCAGCACCACATACATGCATGCTCATGTGCACACACGTGCACACACACACACACACACACACACACACAGTTAGTACTTTGGTCAAAAAGGCAGACTGGATTTCTTCAAATCTTAGGAGTATATTGTTTGTAGAGATATTCAAGTGAAGGCTAAAGATCAGTGGGGAAATTAGTAGAGAGGATTCAAACTGTATATTTTTATGTTGGATAACTTTTACAAATTTAAGTCCTCAGATTCATTTATACATGGTCTTCATGTAATTAAGCAGGGGAAAGAAGACATTAGTGTGCAAGAACTATGTTGGAATATGGACAGATTCCTGTTATTTTCACACAGGATTTTGCATGTTTAGTTACAATATTTTGTGTTGTGTATATGTAATATGTCATATGAATATGTGGAGTGTGTTTATGGTTTTATGTATAAGGATTATTTATATATAGGTAATTTGTAATGGTGCAGGAGGTCTAGAAGGGTCACTTGATCGGTAGTAGGACACTCAAAAGCCAGAGTGTTTCTGAGAAAGTTCACTGTTGTAGAAAATAACTTACAAAAGACTAAAGGAGCCCACAGTGCAGTTAACGGTAATGTACCAATTATCAGTTTCCTGGTTTTTATATTGTATTACGCCATCTCTCTTGGGGAAAGCTGAGCAAAGGGTAAATGGGACTCTTTGTACTATTGTTGCAACTTCCTGTAAGTTAAAAGGAGCTTAAAAACAAAACAAAACAAAACAAATCAAAAAAACTGAAGGGAGCACTATCTTGAATACCACAGTAATAATATGAAGATTTGTCCCTTCACTGCCAGTTAACGCTTTTGGTTTAAGTGTCACCAGTGTGTCATCCTATGTCTGAGTGTTCACATAGAAGATGGGTAAAAATGCTGCTATGTTGTGAAAAACAGCTGAAATAGATTGCTTTGCAAATAAGGGATCTAGGGAACCCACTGCTATTTATTATGTCTAGTGAGACTACTAGCCTCCCAGCTTTATCTGGAGGGTTTTTTTTTTTTTAATCTGGAGGGTTTTGGTTTTTTTTTCATTTATGTATTTGGTATAGCGTCTCTCACTACAAAGCTTAGACTTGTAGTGATCCTCCTGTTTTCTGCCTCCCTCGTACTGGGATTACAAGCGTGCACCACCATGCCCAGTCTTGGTGGCTGGCTCATTGTGCCTGGGGGTGGGGCTGGCAAGGCATGCAGGACCAGGAAATACTGGTTTTGTTTTTTTTTTTTTTTTTTTTTGTAGCTGAAATATGAGTGAGAAAATTTGTGGAGGCTGTTCATATTGAATGGATCTTGAAAGATTGGCACTTGCTTTCCTTAAGGTACCCAAGCAGTATTGTCTATGAAAATAGTGCATCAATATTTGGATTTTTTTTTTTATTTTTTTTCAAAGTTTTATTGATAAACAGATAGCAATGAGACAGTTTCAAATCAAATCGGAAGTACAGTTTCAACAAATAATACACTGCATATATTCTTCTTAGTGGTTAATTGCTGTACAAGATGTGGACTTGTGATCCTATTTACAAACATCATTAGAACAAATCATTCTATTCATTAAGAGAATGCAACTATATATCTATCCCAACCTCTTTGAATACACAGATACAAAATGGACATTCATCTGTATGCCCCATTTTTTTAAGTTCCGTTATTGAATATTATAGGTGTGTAAACTCAGCAAAATATTCTAAAAGAGTCCAGTAGCCCATAATAGCGTTGGGTCTTCTGTTTAACTGGCAATGTCAGAAATTATTGACCTGAGTCCCCCACAGCTCAACTTAACAGCATGGCTTTATTTCTTATATTTTGACTTCATACTTTTCTACTGGATGGTTAAGACCAAGGTAAAGCAGGACCTATGCAACAAGAGTTGTAGCTTTTTGGTCTGAGAAGGTCAGTGAAATGCCCTCAGGATTTATCCTGAGATCCTGTACCTCAGATTGTAGAACCTTTATCAGTGCAGCCATGTGGATGAGTCACGGCCATTGCTTGGCCAATGTGCTCTCTGTGAATGCCTGAGAGAGTGTCTTCTCCCCATGTGACTCTCCTTAGGCCCACTCTATGTCATCGATCACTTTCCTCTTTGGCCCCATAATCTTCTTGATCAGAAAATTTGGGACACTACCGAGGTACATGACGTTACAGTACAAGTTCTCATATGTCCTGAGTCTTAATTGACCTTAGAAGGCTAGGGCCAAAAAGTTGGCTTTCCTTGTAGCCCTCCTTTTTCTCCAATTTTGGTCTGCAAATTTAGGTTGTTAACCATCCAGAAGAAAAGCTTATTGTTATTATCAAACGATTTAGGCTATCAATCTTAGCCTCAACTAAGCTACTGCACTGCAGATGGTAATTTGTAACAGTTGT